ATTTACTAACTGTCAAGGTTCTGCGTAAAGTCCTTATGTCTCCGCTCTCACAAGGCTTCTCTGATGTGGTCACCCAACCATTGTGACATGTTGAGCTCCGGCTGAAGTCTCTTTCAAACGAATGTTTTGCTTCCTATAACAGGACTGATCATTGGACTATTTTAGCACCCATTCTGAGGTATGAAAACATGTCATTTTACCGAGCTCCTTTCCTGTATGAATTCTCTGATGAGGGAAAGCCTTTATCACCCTCATCGTCAACATGAACTCGCTGATGTTTCGTAAGACTTGAGCTCCAACTGAATACCTTCCCACACTCCTCACATTTGTACGGCTTTTCTCCAGTGTGGACTCTCTGATGGGCTTGAAGGTATGAGCTCCTACTAAAGACCTTCCCACACTTCTCACATTTATATGGTTTCTCTCCAGTATGGACCTTGTGATGGAGATGAAGCTGTGACCTTACACTGAAGCCCTTCCCACACTCTGCACACTGATACGGTTTCTCTCCCGTGTGGACCCTTTGATGATGCACATGAAGACTTGAAGACTGGCTGAAGGCCTTCCCACACTTCTCACATTTATAGGGTTTCTCTCCTGTGTGGATTCTACAGTGAACCTTCAGTTCTGAACTCCGGCTGAAGCCCTTCCCACATGTACCACATTTGTATGGTTTTTCTCCAGTGTGGCCTCTTTGATGGGACAGAAGATTTGAGGGCTGACTGAAGCCCTTCCCACACTCCTCACATTTATAGGGTTTTTCTCCTGTGTGGATTCTACAGTGAGCCTTCAGTTCTGAACGCCGACTGAAGCCTTTCCCACAGGCATCACATTGATAGGGTTTCTCACCAGTGTGGCCTTTTTGATGGTCCAGAAGATTTGAGGCCTGACCGAAGCCCTTCCCACACCCCTCACATTTGTATGGTTTCTCTCCAGTGTGGACTCTCTGATGGACTTGAAGGTGGGAGCCTGCACTGAAGCCTTTCCCACACTCCTCACATTTATAGGGTTTCTCTCCTGTGTGGATTCTACAATGAGCGTTAAGGTGTGAGCTATGCTTAAAACCCTTGCCACATGCATCGCATTTGTATGGCTTCTCACCTGTGTGCATTCGCTGATGAGCCTGCAGTCGTGAATGCCAACGGAAGTCCTTCCCACACTCTTCGCATTTGTAAGGTTTCTCTCCCGTGTGAACTCTCTGATGGACTTGAAGATGTGCACTCTGACTGAAGCCCACCCCACACTCCTTACATTTATAGGGTTTCTCTGATGTGTGGGTTATCAGAGAAGTTTGACAATGTGAGCTTTGCTTAACATTTCTCCCACACTCCTCAAATTTGTGTGGATTTTCTCCCGTAAGAACTCTCTGATGATGAGGAAGATATGACCTCTGCCTAAAATTCTTACATGCTGTATCATATTTGTATGATGTCTCTCTATTGTGGACTCTCTGATGGGCTTGAAGACTTGAAAACTGGTGGAAGGCATTTTCACATTTTTCACATTTACAGGGCTTCTCTCCCGCATGGGCCGTCTTATTAATTTGAGGGCAAGAGTCCTGAATAACACCTTTCTCGCACATCTCTCCTTTGTGGCGTTTTTCTCCATTATGGACTCTGTGGTGAACCTGAAGATGCGAACTCTGATTACTCTGATTAAAGCCCTTACCGAATTCCTCATATTTATAGAGCGCATCACCTTGTTTTTCCAACAGAGAGACAGTTCCTTGAATGTTTACTGTGGAATCTTGACATCTGGTTAAACCCTTGGTAACCTGTTGCCAGATTTGTGAGTAGAAAAACTCTTCATGGGGCAGGTCCCTTAATCCAATTTCTTGAATAACCTCCACGTTACGTAGACTCTTGTCTCCTAAAAGAATAAAGAGAATTTGGAGATGGGCATGTGGATGCTTTTGTTCAGAAATGTCAAGGTTATACATAAACGTAGGCCAACACCCTGAGGCTTTATGGAACCAGGAGAAAGCTCCATTTTTATTATCATGTATCATGTTCTCTGATTTACATGACTCTGGGAACCAAGACACATTTAGGCATTGTATTAGGTTTCAAAAGTGAGCCACAAGTTAGAAATGTGGTGGCTGCAGAGCAAGAAAAATACTTCCTCGCCAACTCAACTACCCCAGCAACCTACAACTTCTAGTCTGCAGCAGCCAGGGGAGTAGGGCTCTGAACAAGGCTCTATGGGTCCAGAACAGGCCATATCTGCTCGGCATGCTGCTGTAATCAACCTCGCGGGAGTAGGAAGCTTTATGCAGTCCCGGGCAGCTGCAGCTGTGGTCCCTGCAGCATCACATGGATATGGGCAGCGGTGGCAGCACAAACAGCTCAGCTACATCATCAACTGGCACATAGGCAGCTAATCAAAAAGTAAAAAGAAGGGACGCACACCAACCACTCCAAAATTCTGGGTCTTGCATTATTTCCCCCTCTCTTTTTATGAAACATAAAAGAACTGAATCAAAAGGATTTTGAGTTTCTATTCACTTCTGTTTTTTAAAAGGTGTCCGTATTTTACACTGCTAGCTATACAAACTTTACACAAAAGCAGAAAGAATCCTATGATTTTTAGCTAAAAAAAGGGAAATGCTTTAATGAACCATTAGGGTTGGCTGCTTAAGTCACTGCTTTTGAAAAATGGTTTCACTGTGCATGATACATATGGAAGAGGCCTCAGAAACACTAGTCACATCTTTGAGAAGAATGTAGTTTGATATTTATTTAGTATAAAAGGTTTATACAGAGCACAACAAATACTGTTTTTTACAAATCTGTTTTGGAAAAAAGAAAAATACTTTGATGATGAAGCTGCACCTTACTAAAAGCCGTCTCTTCTGCCTACTGTATGCACATCCGACCAAAATGCTCAGGATGTCTAGGGAAACCCTTCCAGACACATTAGCAGAGGATGTCCCCAGGCAACGTTGAAAACCTTTGCTTTGAATTATTTTATTGGAAGTTTACTCCAATGTTCAGAGCCTTTGAGACACTGAGCTGGTTGGAAAGACACGTTTGGGAGAAAAATCCTTATCCATCCACGTGTCTGAAGTTCAGAGTGTAAGCAGAGAGCTTCCTTCACCTCCTGCTGGGAAATATCCTTCAGGAGGACATCGGGGGTGGGGTGGGTAAAGGTTTACAGTAAAAATATACATCACTCTCTCGCCCAGGCCAGTGTTGCTCAGTGATTAGAGCAGCATCCCATGCATAAAGGGACTCAGGTTCAATTCTGGATGAGGGCACATACCCAGGTTGCAAGTCCCATCCCTGGTTGGGGCACATACGGGAGGCAACCAATTGATGTTTCTCGCGTGGATGTTTCTCTCTCTCTCCCTTTCCCTTCCTCTCTCTCTAGATCTAGAATCATCAAGGATAAAAGTGGCCATGGGGCCTATGGACTGTTGGCTTTCTTTGGTTTTTGTACGTATTTCCTTTCTGTGTGTGCAAAATATTTCCTTTTTCAAGTAGGAGTATTTAGAGCCCCAGGAATAATGTCTGTGAAAGTAGACTCTCAAAATGATGGGTAGAGATACATTTTCCATATGGACCACACCAATGGTTTTCAAGCTGAAGGCAGGAGGTAGTGAACTTGAAAGGAATTTAGTAGCTTTTGATGAAAATTAACAAAATAGGAAAATATCAGAGGTGCTTTGTAAGCAGTAAAGGCATCTCTGTATAAAATGGCTATTAAGAATCTTCATTCGAAAAAGCAGTTCTTAACCAAGACAGTATGATTCACTCCTAAAGGCTGCAGGAAAACCACAGGGGGGAAATGATAATCAAGTTGGTTACAAATGAAAAGCTAAGCTTTTCTATCTATACCCAAAAGCACCTAATAAAATTAGACACCTGTCAAGGGGAAAAACTGTTCTAGACTATACCTTCATCACAGTTGTTTTTTTAAAAATCCTCACCCGAGGATATGTTTTTGTTTAATTTTTTTAGGGAGAGGGGGAGAGAAAGAGAAAAACATCGATGTGAAAGAGAAACATTGATTAGTTGCCTCCCGTGGTTCGAACCCACAACCGGGTGTGTTCCCTGGCCGGGGATCGAGCCCGTGACCCTTCGGTGCATGGGATGACATTCCAACCATAAGCCACACTGGCCAGGGCACACATTTTTTATTACCACACTTGAAGGATCTCAGAGATGAATGGAAAATGGTCTATGTAACCATCATTAACTCATTCATATATTTGATATATTTGATAAATATTTATAGCACACCTGCCTTCTTCTAACTCTGCTCTATATAGTGAGGATAAAGCAATAAAGAAAACAGAATTTCTCTGCTCCTGAGACTGTATTCCAATGGACTATAGTACAATAAATAAAAATATATGTTAATAAGGTAAGTGCTTAGACACCAACTAAGACAGGGTAGAGGAAGGGAGTGGAGGCAGAAGGTATTATGCACAGAGGGGTCATGGAGGCCTCTCTTATGAGGTTAACATTTGGGAAAAGCCCTATGTGAGGTAAGGCAGGGGCTGGGAGAATGACGAGGGAAACAGTGCTCCTGACAGAAAGAACAAGAAGAGGGTGATGAGGCGGGAGCACGCTTGGCACAGCAAAGAGCCCAAACTGGACGGAGCAGATGACAAAGGGGACAGTGACAGGTCACGTTCATAGAGGGATGGCGGGGGGGGGGGGTGAAGGGGAAGGAGACAGAGCCATGTGGAACACTATAAGCCACTTTAAGTACCTGGATTTTACTTTGAATCAGATAAGAAGCTAGTTGAGATTTTAAGCAGAGGTCCGACAAGATCTGACAAACACTCATAAAATCACTTGGAATAGAGAACTCATTGTAAAAGAGCAAAACAGAAGAGTGAGAGCCATACAGACTGCTGCAGCGATCCACAGACGAGGCCCTGACTCAGACCAGCACCACGGTGGTGGAGGCGACAGGTGGCTCAGACCAGCGTCTCACTGGTGGAGGTGACAAGAAGCAGGACAGCCCCAGCCGGTTTGGCTCAGTGGATAGAACCATCGGCCTGCGGACTGAAGGGTCCCAGATTCAATTCTGGTCAAGAGCACAGGCCCGGGTTGTGGGCTCGATCCCCAGTAGGGGGCGTGCAGGAGGCAGCCGATCAATGATTCTCTCTCATCACTGATGCTTCTATCTCTCTCTCACTCTCCCTTCCTCTCTGAAATCAATAAAAATATATATTTTAAAAAACTTTAAAAAAAGAAAAGAAAACTGGCAACCAGCTACAGAGCTCCAAAGCCCCACACATCAAAGGACACAAACAGCGCAGGGGGCTCAAGTGCAGTCACAGAGCGCCTGTCCTCACCCGCTGAGACCAGGTTCCGGAAGTTCTCCAGCATCACGTCTCGGTACAGCTTCCTCTGGGACGGGTCCAGCAGCCCCAGCTCCTCCTCCGTGAAGACCACAGCCACGTCCTGGAACGTCACCGCCTCCTACAACACCACACACAGATGACCTCAATCCCATAACCAGTCTCACGGGAGAGGGGCAGCACTGAAAGCAGTTCTGTGTATCTTACAGCAATTCAGTGGAGAAGTCTGTCCCAGGGGTATGTAAATCTGAAGTACAAGAAACCATATGTGTCTTTACCCCTCCCATTGCCCCCCCACACCCCCACATACTCATTTTTGAACATTCAGGGGGGCCAGGGCTTGGGGGCACGGAGTTCAGGGTTTTCAGTGAGCAGGGAAGGGCCTCGTGGTTGGTCCACAATTCAGCCAGGGTCTGATTGGGATTTTTTATCTTATGACTGTAAAATTTCTACTGGAGATTTTAAGTTTTGTTTCTTTATTGTATGGGTTATAAATATTGCCACCCACATTGTACTATTAGTCTGGTATAGCTTTGAGTACAGCCTGATTTTTCATCCTCGACTCTACTGACGTATTTGGCCAGATAACTCTTCATTGTGGGGCTGTCCTGTGTGTTGTAGGATGGTTAGCAGAATCCTTACCTTCTACACGCGAGATACCAGTAGCCGTCCTCAAGTTATGACACCAAAATGTGTCCAGGTGTTCACTGGAGGCAACATTGCCCCTGATTAAGAATCACTGGTACACAGTTTTGTCTTAATTTTTTATATGGAAACTGTGTTCGTCACTGGACTGCAGCACATGCAGGTGCAACAGAAATCATAGAGAAGATGGGGCCACTGAAGAGTGAGCAGGGAGAGGCAGTATTATTCGAGGTGTTTTCTTTTTTTTAATATTTTATTGATTTTTTACAGAGAGGAGGGGAGAGGGATAGAGAGTTAGAAACATCGATGAGAGAGAAACATCGATCAGCTGCCTCCTGCACACCCCCTACTGGGGATGTGCCCGCAACCAAGGTACATGCCCTTGACTGGAATCGAACCTGGGACCCTTCAGTCCTCAGGCCGATGCTCTATCCACTGAGCCAAACCAGTTAGGGCTATTTGAGGTGTTTTCTACCCACCAGCATAACCAGGCACCACACTCAAAGGGCTAAGTCTCTGACTGGGGAATTCTTTTCCCTTGTCTCTCTGTCTTTATCCAAGTAAAATTTAGGAGTCTTTTTGCATCAGTTGGATGAGTCCTGCCAGGTGGCTCAGTGGGTTATAGTGTCATCCCATACACCAAAGGTTGAGGGTTCGATTTTCAGTCAGGGCACACACCTAGGTTGCGGGTTCAATCCCCGGTCAGGGCATGTATGGAGGCAACCCGTCGACGTTCCTCTCTCACTTCAATGTTTCTCTCTCTCTCTAGTAGAAATTAACCTACACTAAAATAAAAAGTAGTGATCATCTGATACATACAAGGGCCCTGAATGCCTACTGTTCTCTTTAATCCTTCCAAGAAAAAGAAACAGGATGTGTGTGGGAAACTGATATAGGGTTAAGCCTCGGACTGACCTGCTGGCAAAGTCACAAACAAGTCCTAGCTTAGAGGGCACAGTCCTCTTAGCATAATTAGGCTTGACCTTATAACACTCCCTAGATCTTATCTGGGAATCTAATTGGTTGAGGAAGTGCAGGAAGTGTAACCATGGTCAAAACAAGTGAAACTCACAAGAACTGTGTAACTATGGTAACCACTACCTTGTTTATCTCTCACTATAAAAAGCTTGGTGAGGCCTGAGCACAATAGAAGTCCTTCTCCCAGAGTTGGACTTGCCCGCCTGGTCCCCCAATATTTCCAAATTATCTCGTGTCTTTTCTATTTCATTTGTTGTGCGGCTCCTCTTCCAGACCCGAACCCTGAACCACGCAGGACGTGGAGGGAAACACTTACGACAGATGTGTCTAATCACTGAGAAATGAGATGACAATTTAAAACCTAGACAGGCAAGCCCAACTCACCTTGAACTTGGCCATTTTGTCTTCCTCCTTCTCGGGAAGGGCTGAGTCTTGGGAAGGCACAAGGGGGAAGAAGGAAAAAAGCATTAGATTCTGGCCAAGGGTGTCACTAACCCCTATGACTGTGTTATGTGAACCCCTCACACACCCTGTGAACACCCCCCCCGCCCCGAGCCTGGTGCCCTGGCTCAGATGAGCAGAATGCAGACTGCCTTCCAGACACCTTCAGCCAAGAGCCCCCGCACAGAGAGCCACCTGCCCAACCACACATGACGGCCCTCACGTAAGTTCATGCAGCCCTCAGGGGACGATTCTAATTCTGGGAGAGTGGACACTGAGGGTAGAGGACACAGGTCAAGGGAGTAATCCCTGGGGCCAATGACACTGCTACTTAGTAGCTGTGAAATCTTGAGCAAATTATTAATATCTTCATGCCTTAATTCTCTTATCTGTGAAACAGAGGGATTAACAGTGCCTATCACATAGGATTGTGGTAAGAATCAAGTGGTAGGCAGGAAGCTCAGTGAATACTTTCAGGGCACCTTACTAGTAGCAGCAGAAAAGCAAGTAACACATGCCCGGCTGGCGTGGCTCAGTGGTTGAGCGTCGACCTATGAACCAGGAGGTCATGGTTCGATTCCCAGTCAGGGCACTTGCCTGGGTTGCGAGCTTGATCCCCAGTGTGGGTTGTGCGGGAGGTGGCTGGTCGATGGTTCTTTCTCATCATTGATGTTTCTATCTCTCTATCCTTCTACCTTCCTCTCTGAAATCAATAGAATATATATTTTTAAAAGTAATAAAAAATAAAATATATATTTGCACATATATTTAAAAAAAGGAAAAAGAAAAAGAAAAGCAAGTAACATAAAACCAGTCTCATAAATGGTTTCTGTCAGTGGAGCCTTCAGAGGAGGCTGTTCTGTCACATGACCTTCACATGACCTCTGAAATACATATTCTTTCTTGCTTTCGCATACTTAATTTGATGCCTTTGCAAAAATATTTAAGAGTAGACAATTTCTTCCTGTATAAAGTATACATAAGAAAATTGAGCCGAAACCGGTTTGGCTCAGTGGATAGAGCGTCGGCCTGCGGACTGAAAGGTCCCAGGTTCGATTCAAGTCAAGGGCATGTACCTGGGTTGCGGGCACATCCCCAGTAAGAGGTGCAGGAGGCAGCTGATCGATGTTTCTCTCTCA